CCTTTAACTGAAGCAGCCATGCGGAAATACTTAATAACAGGCAACAAATTGAACTTCAATCACCTCTTTTTTCTTCCAAGGATGCACAGCACATTAAACACAACGTGCAAATATGCAATATGCCATTCATCAAACTCCGTTTATGAGGAATTGTAAGCATTTCTTTTCCCTTTTTTTCCTGCTTATGACAAATAAGCATCATTGGTATCTGGCAAAGGGTTCTCTTCTCTCTAACCGAATGTTCTTATCAGCCTGAAACCATGTGCACACTCAGCCTTCACAGCAGCAAAGGCAGATGAGAGGCTCATTTATCTTAAACCATGTTTCTGATAGCTGCGCCGTTATTCCCCTTATGCCTTAATCTGATTCTGTTTTGAGTAAATTGAATTTATGTAGTATTATTCCTCCAATTGGCGTGTTTCTAAAGATGCCTTGCTCGGAAATCAGGAGTTGGTTTGAAAAGGAAGGGCTGATGGAGAGGCACAGAGATTCAGTGGTGGCGTTTTTTTTGTTGGCTTTTTTTGTGTGTGTGTTTGCGCACGTGGTTACACATCTCAGCCACAGTCACCAGGCCCCTCTTCATACGTCCCTCCTCATTCTGCGATCTTTGGGCGTCTGACAGAGACAAACGACAGTGCTTCAGAAAATGAGGAAAGCCCGCCACACAAACAGGTTAAGAGGAGGGAGAGCCGAGAGAGAGAGCCTCGCAATCGAGGCTGGTTCCTTTGTTTTCTCTTTGGCTGTGTTCTCTTGCATGACGCTTTAAATTGATCTTGGGATGTGTGAAACCCGAATCCATGGATACTGTTCCACTTGAGATAAAACATCAATACATTCTTGTTTCATACTGGACTTGTGTAAAAGCTGCTGGCAAATGTTATTTTACTACTTGTGCTTTTTATACATAGTTATAGCTATTCATGTTCACAATCCTTTTTTAATTGTACGAATATTTTACCTTGTGTTGTGTTGTACCTTTCTTCAAATATAGAATTTACACACAATTACTTAGTATGGTTGCATTGGCCTATGAAACGCTATGATTTGGGTCAATTGTTCTTGGTGTTCTTTCACATGCTTCCACAGAGGTTTGCTTAATTTTGGTACATTCTTTTTGGCAGGACTTGTGTAAGGACAGGCTACAAGTTTTTTTTTTTGCTCTTTTCGGGACGATTTTCCAGTCTTACGAGAATTTATTTGATCGGGCTCATTGTGCGTCCTGCACTGTGTAGTATACAAGGGGTATTGAGGCGATTAGCCTGTCACAGCCATCTACCGATTAGGAATTGTAAGGTTGGGAGAAAATCAAATATTTTTAAAATTCAGTCTGTGCTCGTGAGGTGTTTGTGAGTAAATCCTGCTGTTGAAGTGGAGCTACGAGCCAACTTACCAAATCCTCATGCACGGTGCATGTGCAAACAAGGGAGTTCTTCCAGATTGACGAATCCAACCAGCGCCATCTCTCGGCGCTGAGTCTGTTAAGTTTTAAACCCTGCAGTTTTGTTGTACAGTTTGAGCTGTAGCTGAGTACAAATATTGAAAATATCATATGGTATATGCCCAGCCTAAGTGAGCCAGAGGTAGTAGGCTACCATATCATATTTATACAGATTTATTTAAACCTTTTAGGCTCTGCCCGATTCTCGATTCTGTGAAACGAACTTGGTAAGTGCACGGTGACATTCGTCTACCTTCACCTGGGACATTCTATTTCTGCCTTCCTCGGCAAAAACAGAAGGCAGTGAACGGGAGCTGCCAGCCTCTGAGCCAGCCAGGCTACCCGTCTCGTCACAGTCATTTAAATCTAATGGAGAAGGCATCCGTTTAATGAAATAGCATTACTGTACAATTTCGGGAAATAAACTCATCTCCCCCTGATTTAGATAAACCAGCGTCACCTTTCTCTCGCTCCCTGAACTGCGGAGCAACTTCATAGCATGTTTCGTAATTAAACATGCTAGCAATGAAGGGCTAGATTAACGAGAAAGCCACACTCCCTCAATAAGCCCCAAAGAGAGGTAGGAAATTGGTTTATTTCCAGAAATGGCATATGATTTACTAGGAACCACATTAAGTACAGCCAGTGATAGAAAACTAGCTACTTATCAGCAGAGCTGCCTTCCATGCTGGTCGTAACTTTAGCTTCTGTCCGGAAGCATCAAAAACACGGCATTCATTAAAATGTATGCCATGTTGAGTGTGCAGGTGTTTCTGCATGTTGGATGCATTTCCTCCCATGGATGTAATTGCCATTTTGCAATGATTGCAAAGCACCATGTTGCCAACTTTCTCTTCCTTAAAATGAAGCCAAACTTTCGATCGCTTTGACTGCTTCTGTTTTGCTTTTCTAGACTTCCGCCTGGTCATGTTGTACTTGCTTACTGAATGCCGTGTGCGTAACTTGCGTAGAAAACGTGATGTAAGTCGTGCTGCCCAGCACTAGGCTCTGGTGCTGCCTGGAATCGTTAAGAGAATCGTTAAGCGAGCTGCCAAGCGGTGCCATGGAATTGGAACACACGGAACCAGTTCTGAACAGGAACCGGTTTTCGATTCCCATCCCTATTTAATGCCTTTAATATATTTTGAATTACAAACAACTAATCTAGTGATGCACAAAAAAATCTCCATTGCAGTTTGACATTTCTACACCATGATGCCACCACTCCCATACTTTATAGATGGGATGGTGACTCTCTGGTCTCCTTCCTAACCAACATGAGGCCTGGACATTACTGTGGTATTTAGACATGTGTGTTACTGTTTGAACAGATGATGTGGCACCTTTGGCATCTGGAAAGTGTACCCAGACCAAATTTCTTGATTAGTCTGGATTTTTTTTATATTGTCACACAAGGAAATGGTGTATTTTAGGTAATCCCTTCAAACCTCTATAGGTGGGGATCCATGTGATGCTTATGAAGCTACCATCTTCTTGAGTTAGAAGAAGCTTGAAATATATTATCTCATGATTGAAAAATTTAGCAAAATAAAGCAAATTTAGGCCACTATCTGTTCTATAGTGAGTTTTTAGTTAAATTTAATGTCAAAAGGAAGGAAATCTTTTTTATTTTGCACAGTATCTGATTTCCGCCAGTAGTGTGTTTTTAATAAAGAGTATCTGCATACACATGTGGGCCCAGTCTCTCTTCTATGGCACTGTAACATTGCTATCTTTTTGATTTAAAGTGGATCATTTGCCCCATTACAATTTATCCAAGAGGATACCAAAATGGCCATAATTCCACCTCAGACAATAACCTCCACACCATGGTAATTTGTCCAGACGTGGTCGGAACAGCAAAAGCATTACAGGTCAGGTAGTTTGTCAAGCCCACTGTCACCCACCCTGCTTTTTCATCTGCAAAGGAGAGGGACAATGATCTTTGGAACATAGAGTGCTATTTACAGCGATGCCGTGGATTCATGGTCCTGGAGAAAAATATGACGTCTGGCTGCCGAGGCTTCTGTCATATCTTTGAAGGATCGGGGATGGCAGCTTCATCAGTTCAATGCCGGGTGTCTACTTGACATCCAGTGTGAGATCTTAAGTGAATTCAGGGGATGAAATAATTTAGTCACTCCCGGCTAGAGGTGAAAGGTTATATTATGTTCACTCGCTAAAGACTGAAATTTGATTATCAGAACAACAAATGGAGAGGAAGTACTAAGAGATCAGATTAGTTCTTGTGTGCACAGAGATTTGCAACATTTGTTGGCTATGTCCCATGTGTATTTATTCTATATGATCACAATATTTATAAATATTATTATTTTGTACAATATGTTATTTTGTTTTTCCAAAGTTTAAATCCTTTTTCTTTCATTGCAACTTTTAACTTATTTTACTTGTTGTTTTTTTTAAACACTTTTTCTAGGATTTACAAACATCAATTTGAGTTTAAAGCTGAGCCAGTCATCCTGTTGTTCAGACATTTGAAGATGGGTCATCAGTGAAAGGAAGCAGTACCAACTAGCTTCAAGCTACTAATCCGTATTTAATTGAACTCCAGAGACTTTGAAGCCAGTCCGTGATGCAGGCGGCTCTTACTCCTCTGAGAGAAGCCAGGAGAGATGCTGTCCTCTGTTAAGGGTCTCAGCTGGTCCCCTCTGCTGTCCCTTCTGTTTAATGAGCTCTTTAACTCAGCTCTGAGCTCTACTTGGCAGCTCATATTTAAATATTTCTGAATAATAACCCTCCCCTAACCCTTTCTCTGACAACCCTGGTCGTTTCCTTTTACCTTTTGAGTACCATCCCTGCATGCAGCCTTGTCAAAGAGACATGGTTAAAAGTGAGAGCAGAGGGTTAAATAAAAACCCGGCTAACAAAGCCGTGCCAAGCAGGCTGGGAGTATATCTAAATGCTGCATTAGTCGGAGCACGAATCACAAAGCTGTGAGTCTGTCGGGATCTATGACAGTCATCAGAACAAGTCCCTCTGACAGCGCTACAGTCTCCACAGGGACAGATTAAACCAAATTCATCCAAGCACTTCTGTTTGGAGCTCAGTTACATGATATTATTTGACCTCTGTCTGTTACCAGTGTGGAAATACTCAAAACTATATCATCAGATGTTTAATATAAAACTTGTTGCATGTTCATGCCACACTTGGATCAGGATAGATGACCTTTTAGTGGACTAAACACCATGTTGACTCCTTCTAGCTAACCAGCGCCCATTCTCCAGCTAAAAGGATCTCTTTTTCATTGAAGCTGATCAATAAAAAGCATCAATCGTGTGTACAGGCTCTTGTGCCATCACTGTGAGAAATGAGCAGACCGTGCATTAGTCTCCTTTTCTTCCATTTCTTTTTCTACAATAATCTGCTTTGTGTCTTTTTTTTATTTCTAATTCATTTTAATTATTTGAATAATACTTTATAATTAATACTTTCCCATTTATAGTAAACTTTTAGCTTTTATAATCTTAAGAAAAGAATCAAGTAAGCTTTGGGAACAAATGACCTAATTAAAATGTGTTTTATTCTTCTGTTTTCTCAGGTTTTGTCCTACACAGAAGGTCTTCATGGAAAATGGCTGTTCACAGAGATCCGTGCTGTCTTCTCCAGACGCTACCTGCTGCAGAACACTGCTCTGGAAGTGTTCATGGCAAACAGAAGTATGACACAACAAGACAGTTTCAGAAAATCAGCCTCATTTTATTGAGTATTTCAGCGCAGAATTTCTTATTAAAATGGATAATTCTTCTAATGTGTGGATTTCTATCTATTTTGCTGATATACATGTTTGTTCTTGTGCAGCGGCCGTCATGTTCAACTTCCCAGATGCAGCTACAGTAAAGAAGGTGGTCCACAGCCTTCCTCGTGTTGGAGTGGGCACGAACTTTGGCCTACCTCAGACCCGGTTAGACCTTTACGAAATTTTTTTTTTTTTTTTATTAAATCTTGTGAATCTGCATTCAAAACATTTTTTCTGGCAAAAAGCTTGAAATATACCCTTAAAGTCAGGGCTCTCAAACTCAAATCCTCAAGCAACTTTTAGATGTGCATCTGCTTCAACACACCTGGGTCCAGGATGAGCTCATTAGCAAAGCTTGAATGCTGCTAATGAGGAAGTTAAGCCGTTTGAATCAGGCGTGGGACAAGAGTCAGATAAAAACGTACACCCCTGCATTACGTCAAGTTAAAAAGGAAAACACCAACACTCATTCTTAGCCTTCATGTCTAGGCCTTCTAAATGTCTTGTTGATGAGACCCAAAGTGAATCTGAGCTATGAATGAATCAATCAGTCAGTCTGTCTACTTATGAAGTCATTTGTACTTATTCTGTAGACTAAGAATAGCATTTCAGTCACTAGTGTCAGTATTAACCAGGAGGATAACTCTCACATCCATCAACTGCATTGACATCTAAATGCAGTTTTAACCTCTGCTTCCCTGAACGGCAGGATTCATTATGTATTCTGCAATATTTGACTTTAATTCCTCTTGGAATTATAATTTATTTTGCATACTTTCACGTTGGATCTCGTTTTTTTCTTTAATTTCACAATTAGGTGCTAACTTTTTTTAACTAACTCCTGTGCCAACAGAGGAGCTTTATCTACAAACAAAGTGACCAAAAAAAAAAAAAGCAAATATTACACTACCAGGATGCTGTCCTGTTTTAAATAGACATTTTATGTTACAGAGTTAGCTACTGGTGTTTGAATTTGAAAGTCATACAACATGATTATCCTTCTTTATTTTGTCTACATACAGTACCTGTATGTCTAAACTCTGGAAAATTAAACAAAAGCTTTTAAATTTATAAAATGTTCAAATATGCTGTAAAGAAGTAATTGCAATTTATTTTCTGAGCTTTGTAGACAGTCATAAATCTATTTTTAAACACTATTTTGCAAAAATATATTTTTTTTCTTTTTAAGTCCTTATTAAGCCTTTCCTTTGTTGTCAGTAAAATTGTCCAATCAGAAAAGGTTTCTGTAGTTGTTTAGTTAAGAGCAGGAGAGTGTGTAAGTGTGTTTGTGTAAAACTGAATTGAGGTGTGAGGTTATGTTTGTCAGCCTCATCAATCCAAGAAGTTTAAAGGCTGGATCACGTCTGAACAGAGCTGATGATGTATCTGCGACTATGCCACTGTGTTAAAAAAAAAAGCCCTTTTAAACACAACCAGTATCATGTTATCAGTTTTTTACACTATACAGGTCCTTTTCATAAATAAACTGTCATCGAAAAAAATCCCAGCTATGGTCCTTTTTAATTTCAATTTAGACATTATTTTATGAAGATTTTGGTTTTCTGTATTAACATTTGAAAATGTACTTTTTTAAGGTTTTAAATGGCCATAATCACTGACTCTGACGTTGATTAATTCCGTCATTTTCCTTTGTTTTAATTGGATTTGGGGTCATTTGTTTTTGCCCCGCAGCATTCATCATGCTCCGGGTCTTGGTTGTATGTATTCAGCTTATATTTATAGTTCATTTGTCTTCTTAATGAGCAGGAAGAAGTAATGTAGCTCAATATTTTTCTGCTGACTTTGTAGTGCTTCTTTTTATTTCTCGCCACTGTCAGAAATGTCTGCCTCTAAACTTTTTATCCGTTTTAACTCTGTAGACGCATCTCTCTGGCCACACCCAAGCAGCTCTTCAAGACATCCAATATGACACAGCGATGGCAACGCCGTGAGATATCCAACTTTGAGTACCTGATGTTTCTGAACACTATCTCTGGTGAGGACAACACCAAACACCTCTGTGCCAGACTGAGGACAGGAGGGTGTGCTAAGTCATAGCCTGGGTTTGATGGCTGAAGTTGCATTTGTGTCACTTCCTTGCTTCTTTGTCTGCAGGTCGTACCTATAATGATCTTAACCAGTACCCAGTCTTCCCCTGGATTCTCACAAACTATGAGTCACCAGAACTGGACCTTACTCTTCCCAGCAACTACAGAGATCTGTCCAAGGTGAGATGCTTTTGGGTTTATCAGTTGAAGTATTTCTTGATGTTAATCTATTTCCTACTATCAGTCTATTGTCTTATCAGTGCTTGTTTACTGCAATGTTAAATTCAGCTTACATTTAACGGATTACTCTTTTTACCCTGAATTACCTCCAGTCTATGATTTCAGTCTTTAGAATTTAACAGAGTTCAGGATTCATAATGGTTTCATCTAGATAAGTATGGAAAAATAGAAGGTATGGGAAATATCTCCAGTTACAGACCATTATTCTAACCCACTGATAAACAGCTCCCTCTGTCCATCATTCGTTACGGTCTGTGCTATTTTCTGGATCTTTGTGTAAAATAGGACCGCTTAAGGTAAAATCTGCCATAAATTCACACTCAAAGTTTTAAAGAGCAGTTGGGGCCATATATACTTTATACACGCTGTTTTTCTATAAAAGGGCTCTACACACTTGGGCGATGCCTCATTTTATTTGATTTCAGTTGAAGTAATCTTCTCCACATTTCAGTTGATAGACAGAAACAACTTCTTTCAGAAAGGCCTGAGTTGGTATTAGAAGAAAAGATTCTGATTTTTGACCACAATTATCTATGCTCAACCCTGTATAGCTCCAAATATTCCTGTATATGTCTCACAGCATGCTGTGTGACACCACCTCCGTTCTGAATCCAGTTCTATTACTACATATCCATGGAAAGTTGATTGTTAGGACAAAACATTTCAAATTTTAATAAGAAATGCCTGTATTTTTCTTTGCAGTGGTTAAAGTTCTAGTGGTAAATTACATTTCTGATTACTATCTGATATTATTATAGGTTAATGTGATCTATGCTTCCCTGCTCTACTTCTTGCTATTATTTATACACACACTATATTTACTGCCTTATTTATATACTGTATATATGTGCTCAATGTATTGGATTTTCCTAGGAATGTGCTACGTTTGGGGGATAATAAGTAATGTTGCACTATAAGTAATACTGCACTAAAATGGTGGTAACGGTATGGGCGAGTACTGACAAATAGGGCACCAATACCATTTTGAGAGCCAAAAGTTTATTCAACTATTGTCACCCATTCCAGGTAGGCAATAAAATGTTCTACTGGATTCACTTTGTTTTGGTCTTTTTCCTGCTTTACAAAGGTAGGCAGCAGCTTGGCAAAGCTGTGATGGCAATTATTTTACATCCAAGTAGTATGCAGTTCTTCATCTATATACACACACATTTATTTCAGACAGATGATATTGGTATGGTATCGGTATCGGCCGATATTGCACAGCCAGGTATCGGGTATTGGTATCGTGGCCAAAAAAAATGGCATTGGTGCAACACTACTTATAATTACTTGTATGGACCAGTCAGCTGGTTGTCATACTTTGTTTTTCTCCAGACGTTTTTCTTCTCTATATCAAGCCAGTCATAACTAATAATGATCTATTGGTAAATAGATTTATTATTATTATTGTCATTATTATATGTCTTTAAAAATTATTAAAGCAGAAAAAAGTAAAAAAAAAAAGCACTATATTTTATTAAGTATACAGAACCATTGTAGTATCTTTTCCTGCTTTTTTAAAAGTTTTATTTCCTAGAAAAGGTAAAGATGAAATTTGTATTTAGATTATTTGGTTTGCATATTGGCTGCTGCTCCGATTAAATGCTGTCATTGCAAATTTCAAAACCTGATATTTAAAGTCAATTCAGCCAAAAGTCTTGATAATTTAAATATTTAGGCTTTGACCTTTTACAGAACACCAGGAAGTGAAGTACCGTAGTACTCCCTGGTAGCACCAGGCATCAAGTTAATGAGTTTAAAACAGTTAAATCTGCCCTCAGAAGCTACCTTCCTCATAAATACAGACTCCTGCAGCTATAAGTGCTCCTAAGATCTCCATGTTGAATGCAGACATGAGGTTATTTAGTTGCATGAACTACTTCACTTTTACACCCATTCATTCCACACCCACACAGGCAGATAGTCGGGATATAAGCAACAGCTTGCCAATTCTCCAGGTTGTATTACGCAGGCTCAGTGGGAGGACAGCGGATCGGATTTGGAGTGAGAAGATTGAAGTTCTGTCAAGATCCTACAACTAAAATGATGGCATAAATCAGCCATAAAGGGAAAAAAGTGCATTGGTTAATGGACTCTGGAAAGGTCTGGGGAGATGCTTCTTAGCTTCGTCATTTTTAAGCCCCAATGTTTCTGTTAGCAGCCGCCTATAATTTAGAGATGCAACAAAGTGGTCGATCCTGCAAGGACTCGCCTACATTGAGATAAGAAGTGAAACTTGTGATGAAATTTTAGTTTCCTACTGAGTATATTTTGAAAAGTCAACTATTTGATGTTGCCCAACGAGGCTCTTTAAGTTTAAATATCTAAGAATTCGTAGCCTTTACTAAAAACGATTGATGGAAATAAAGAATGGACTGCAGATGTTTTATTCAGTAGAAATACAAACTGGAATCATTCAGCAGACTTTTGATCTGCCTTTTTGTACACATTTGCTAGTAGAAATAAAATGCTTAGTGGTTTTAATTTGTTAATTAGTTTTAAGTTTTTATTATGGCTGGTATCACATTTTAAAAGTTAATCAATTAAAGTAAATGAAGTTAACATGCTAAAAATGTGTTCTACATCTATGTCCATCAAAAACATAATTTCAAACACTCCCTAATTCGCTAATAAAGGGCAGTAAAATACAGGCTGAGTCAGCTTAGATTCAGCTAGAAAAGGAGTATTTTCTCTACAACACTTCCTTTTAAGCTTTATAATAATGGCATAATGTTTATAAAATAACTGAACTTTTATATTTTCAAAGCTAGCTAAAATAATTTACTTTAAAGTTCACAAAAACAGATAGCCTGTTGGTTCTTAGGTGGGAAACATTTCAAACTACTATTTAAAAAATCTCTAGATATTACCTGAGCAGGGAAATGCAGCTGCAGGTGATTCCAGACATCGTCAAAAAGGGTAACATCTGCAAAGCTGAAGTTTTAAGCCAGTGTTATTTAATTGAAATATGTGTGATGAGGGGAGTGGAATCCAATATGAGGAAATGCAGCTGCTCACAACAAAAGTCAAAACAGAAATAATACATTGAACTTGCATATAAATATAATGCACACTTTTAACTGATTGTATTATATGTAACAAACTCCAGTGTGATCAGGGATATGATGCAGGACTGTAATTTAGTTTACAGTACCCATTAGCTGTTTTTCCATCCAAATATAATGCAAATTTTGACTGAACTTTCAAAATATTAGAAAAAGAAGTTGAATACAATAAAGAACAAAAATGTGAATTAGAAATGATTTTGTTTAAGTGAGTAACTGATGAGATGAAAAACGAATTTCATCTTGTGTTTACATTATACTTGGCTGCAATAAACAGGAAATAAAGATAGAAAGCTAACACTGAATGTACATCAGTAATCGAGGAGGGTTTTAATAAATGTGTTGCAGTCAGGAGAGTGGTTCTGGCGCCACCAGTCCCTCCTACCACCATCAGGAGGCAATGCAGGTAAAGTGTCTTGACCAAGGATACATCAACACTGAAAGCAGAGGTGGGGCTGGAATGGACAACCCTCCAGTTGAAGGGCAAATATTATGAAAATTTTTATATTTATAAATTTTTTTGCAACACAGAAAAAGTGGCAGTAGTACATTCAACATAATATTTACATTTAACAACTTAATCCCCAAAATTAACAAATATAAGTATGAAATAGATGGAAAAAGAATGAAAAACAAGATAAAAAATTAAAACAGACGAAGAAAACACACACGAAAAACATAGCAAACTGCATCATTCTTCCACTTTTCTTCATAGTCTTTAAGAAATTTAGCCAATGAGGACCATGATTCTTATAAAATATACTCCCTTTCATCTGACAATATAAGTAAGTTGCTCGATAGCCATACAAGAAGCCATTCCCTTATTAGTGATGTTACATGCCATCTGGAGACGTGGAGATAGAAATGGGATTCCAATGAGACGCTGATCAGTCATGTGAGGTCAAGATTATACATCAGAAGTTATTCGACAGATGTGTTTCCATTACCTCTTATGGACGTTTAACCTTATTTTTAAAAGCTCAAAAACCACTTAAAACTTTTAATTCAAAATGTATAAAGTTGATTTTCATCAACTCTTCTAATGCGATATTTTAAGATTAGCATAAAAATACATTGGAAAGACATCTTCTAGTGAAATTCATCAGGCTTTATTAACTTTAACAAATTTAGATCAAAATGAGATAGAAATATTAGTGTGTGATGACTTGCTCTTAGTAATCGAAATACAAATGATCATATTTTTGTTCCTATTTAGCAATCATCGGTTTGTCTTTCAGGCTTGATGTTGGATATGCGACTTATGCTTCATATTGCTTATTTTTTAAATCCCTCTATCTTTAGTAACCTCTGTAATTTTATCTTTTTTTTTTATCTCCTTTAAAGTTGTGCAGTAGATGTAAATATGACTTTCAGGAACACAAGTAGGCATTCACCATAGTCATCCCCTCCTCCTCTTCTGTCTTAGCTCATTCTGGCTTCCCGCTCTTCCCCGTTTGCATTGCAGCAAAGTTTAGACAGCTCAGCATCCAAACTCGGTGAAGCCTCACAGCCCCAGGGAGTTTGTGACTGAAGGGGAGTTAGGTTAAAGGAGGAGAAACGGAGAGACAAGCAGAAAGCACGAAAAAGAGGAGGAGAGTGTGTTATAGGAGAACATCATCATTTGCAGCCCTGTCACTCCTTTCTTCTTCAAGAGAAGAACAGCAGATGAGAGAGAAGGAAGGGAGGGAACAGAGCCAATCTTTATTACATCTGTTTTATTCATGTTGTTGACGTGTGTGATATCAGTGTATGACTACTGGACCGTGTCAGACTGCGCTGTTTGGAAAAGGGCAAACAAAGCTATACAGCCTTTCTCCTCCATCCCCCATCATGCTTTTCTGCACCCACGATCACTTGCAATTTTTGCTAGACATT